CTGGGATCCATCCTGAGGGTCTGGGATCCATCCCAAGGCTCTGGGATCCATCTCAAAGGTCTGGGATCCATCCTGAGGGTCTGGGATCCATCCCAGGGTCTGGGATCCATCCTGAGGGTCTGGGATCCATCCTGAGGGTCTGGGATCCATCCCAAGGCTCTGGGATCCATCTCAAAGGTCTGGGATCCATCCTGAGAGTCTGGGATCCATCCCGAGGGTCTGGGATCCATCCCAGGGTCTGGGATCCTTTCCAGGATCTGGAGTCCATCCTTGGATTCTGGGATCCATTCTCTATCCCAAACCATCTCCATCCCGGGATGTTTCCCAGCCTTGATGTGGGTCAGGATCCCACTGCGGATCCCACTCTGGATCCCACTGCGGATCCCACTCTGGATCCCACTGCGGATCCCACTCTGGATCCCACTGCGGATCCCACTCTGGATCCCACTCTGGATCCCACTCTGGATCCCACTCTGGATCCCACTCTGGATCCCATGGATTCCTACAGAACATTCCCAGATCCCAGTTCCTGATCCATTAAAACACATCCCTGCTCTTCCTGACCCTTTCCCAGCACCCGGAGCCCTGCCTGGAGCTCAGCTCCCCGAGTTCCCGGCTTTTAGGATTTCCCGGGATGGGCGGGAATGACCCTTCCCAGCCTCTCCCTGCCCTGTTCTATCCCAGGAATATTTTTTTCAGCCCCGTTTTTTATTCCCTTCCAATTCCTTCTTCCCATTCTGCTGGCTCCCGATTGTTTTCAGCTTTTAGGATTTGACCCTTTGCAGGATGAGGGATAAAACTGGGATCGGGATCTTCTGCGCATTCCTGGGATTTTACCAAAATCCTCCTGTCAATCCTCTCCTCAAGGATCATCTCCAGAATTCCCAGAGGATCACCCCAGCTGGACAAATGGAAAGTGTCCCTGCCCTTGGATGATTCTTAAAATCCTTTCCATGCCCCAAAATTCCAGGATTGTAGGAACACTCCCAAAATGTGTATTTTCCCTGATTTCTTGCAATGATTTCCTTGGGAATGTCCCAGCTCTTAGTCTAAAGGAAAATTCCCGGAGTCGCGCTCAAGGTGGAGCTCCCGGGTGAATTTTCTTGGTACTTGGGAGCAGGTTGGCGGAATCCGGTTTGGAATTTAAGATCCACAAATCCCGGGAATTTAAAATTGTGGAAAACCGCTCCGGCTGATTTGTCCCAGCTTTCTTGGTGATCCCCGGATCTCCCGCTCCTGCTGCGCGTTCCCGGCTCCGGGATGTGATTCCCGCTGTCTTCCAGGGCCGCCGGGACCCAAAGGAGACCGAGGCACGGAAGGGATGGAGGGACAGCCCGGCCTTCCCGGCCTGCCCGGGCTCCGAGGTAAGGAAAACATTCCCGGCGTCCACAAAACCCCCCAAAATCCCATCCTGAAATAACCCGGCTGATCCGAACCCGATTCCCGGTGATTCCCGACCCGTCCCTTGGCACGTCCCAGCTCCTGAGGGACACGAGGATGGATCTGCTCTCCCGGATCCTGGAACATCCATCCTGGAGGGGAAAAACGTCATGGCCCACCCGGCTCCAGGAAATCCATGGCTGTTATTCCCAGATTTCCAGGGTGTCCCGGCTAGGCTGGAGCAGGAATTCCCAAACGGAGCCTTCCAAGGCACCAGGGCTGGAATTGCTGCTGGATCCCTCCAGCAGATCCCAGGAACCCACCAGAAGGGCCTCGGCTCCAAGATTTTTCCAGAATTTTCTTTTTCCGACGTCAGCGATGCCGATTTTCCCACCCCCCCCCTTCTTAATTCCATTGTTTTGGGGAGGAATTCCGTCGGAAGCCACCGGAGGACATTCCCACCCTGAGGAGGGTTGGCTCCAGCTGTTCCTGACTTGAAGGAAAGCTGGGAATGCTGCTCCGCTTCCAGGGGCTGGGAACGGCACGGAGGTGGGGCAGGATCCCCCGGGACAGCTTTGTCCCGCGGAGGTGACGGGATCCATCCCGCCGGGAGCAGGGATCCGCCGGGATCCCGCGGGATGGAGCTCCAGGGCCAGCGCCAGGACCAGATCCAGCTTTGGATTCACATCCAGGTCCAGGAGCAGGTCCAGGCCAAGGTCCAGACCCAGACCCAGATGTGGGTCCAGATCCAGGTCAAGGTTCAGGACCAGACCCAGATCCAGAACCAGATCCAATCCCAGACCCAGATGGAGACCCAGATCCAGATCCTGATCCAGACCCAAAACCAGAACCAGATCCAGACCCAAAACCAGAACCAGATCCAGACCCAAAACCAGAACCAGATCCAGGCCCAGGCCCAGATCCTGCTCCAAATCCAGCTCCAGACCCAGACTCAGACCCAGACTCAGAACCAGATCCAGAACCAGATCCAGACCCAGATGCAGATCCAGATCCTGATTCAGATCCAGATCCTGATTCAGATCCAGATCCTGATTCAGATCCAGACGCAGATCCAGGTCAAGGTCCAGATCCAGACCCAGATCCAGATCCAGACCGAGACCCAAAACCAGAACCAGATTCAGTCCCAGGCCCAGATCCTGCTCCAGATCCAGCTCCAGACCCAGACCCAGATACAGATCTAGACCCAGAACCAGAACCAGAACCAGATCTACTTCCAGAACCAGACCCTGAACTTGATCCAGAACCAGACCCTGAACTTGATCCCGTCACAGACCCAGAATCAGACCCGGCTCCAGAACCAGACCCAGACCCAGACCCAGAACCAGACCCAGACCCAGAACTTGATCCAGACCCAGATCTAGACCCAGACCCAGACCCAGAACCAGACCCAGACCCTGAACTTGATCCAGTCACAGACCCAGATCCAGACCCAGACCCAGACCCAGACCCAGATCTAGACCCAGACCCAGAACTTGATCCAGTCACAGTAGACCCAGAACCAGACCCAGAACCAGACCCAGATCCAGACCCAGACCCAGACCCAGACCCAGATCTAGACCCAGACCCAGAACTTAATCCAGTCCCAGACCCAGATCCAGACCCAGACCCAGATCTTGATCCAGCCCCAGCCCCAGATCTTGATCCAGCCCCAGCCCCAGCTCCAGCTCCATCCCTGGAATCCTGTGCTCCAAGGATTCTGAGGCACCGCGACCTGGCTGGGGCTGCTTTGGGCTCAAACCCTGGGATTTTGGGACCGCTCCTTTCCAGGCCCAGCCCAGCGAGGCAGAGCCAGCCTGGAAATCCGATCTCCCTCGGCCAGCCCCTGCAGCTGCCCCTGTTCCTTCTCCCTCCAGCTGCAATTCCTGGCGCTGACGGACTCGTGGCTGTTTTTCTTGGGTGTAACAACCCTCGGAATTACATTGGCTCTTTTCCTTGGTTTTCCCTTTTTTTCCCCTCATTTTTTTTTTCTTATTCAAACAGAAAAACAAAACAATCCCAGGAGGGTTCACCTTCAGGAAGAGTTGCGGGAAGAGCCACAATTTTTTAGGTTTTTTCCTGGAGTTTTTCGGGATGCAGGCACGAGCCTTTGGATCTGAGAAGGTCAGGTTCAGGTGTATCCCTGGAAAATCCCCTTTTCCATGGAAAATTCCCCCTCTTACCCCTGCCCTGCCAAAATCCAGGTCCTGATCCCTCCTCGGGATGGACACAGCAGGGAAAGGCTGGAGCTGGGGATAATGCCCGTTGGAGCTGGGGCTGGAATTCCTCCTGGAGGATTATTTTCCTTGTAAACCAAAGGAGAATTAGGACTAAAATATTGGATCCGAGCCTGGCTCAGGCTCGGGATCAGTCCTGCTGGATCGGGATCATCCCCAGGCTCGGGATCAGTCCTGCTGGATCGGGATCATCCCCAGGATCCGGATCAGTTCCTGCTGGATCGGGATCATCCCCAGGCTCGGGATCATCCCCAGGCTTGGGATCAATCCCTGTTGGATCGGGATTATCCCCACTGGATTGGGATCAGTCCCTGCTGGATCGGGATCATCCCCAGGCTCGGGATCAATCCCCACTGGATTGGGATCATCCCCAGGCTCGGGATCAGTTCCTGCTGGATCGGGATCATCCCCAGGCTCGGGATCAGTTCCTGCTGGATCGGGATCATCCCCAGGCTCGGGATCAGTTCCTGCTGGATTGGGATCATCCCCAGGCTCGGGATCAGTCCCTGCTGGATTGGGATCAGTTCCTGCTGGATTGGGATCATCCCCAGGCTCGGGATCAATCCCCACTGGATCGGGATCAATCCCCACTGGATCGGGATCATCCCCAGGCTCGGGATCAGTTCCTGCTGGATTGGGATCATCCCCAGGCTCGGGATCAGTTCCTGCTGGATCGGGATCATCCCCAGGCTCGGGATCAGTCCCTGCTGGATTGGGATCATTCCCAGGCTTGGGATCAGTCATTGCTGGATTGGGATCAGTCCCTGCTGGATCAGAATCATCCCCAGGATCGGGATCATCCCCAGGATCGGGATCATCCCCAGGTGCCAGCAGATCCCGTCTCCACCCTGGGCCCACATTTGGATCCAGGTCCAGGTCCCACCTGGGGTCCAGGACTGGATGCAGATGCAGATCCAGGTCCAGATCCAAGTCCAGATGTAGACCCAGATCCAGGTCCAGTTTCAGGATCAGGCCCAGGATCAGACCCACAACTGGATCCAGGTCAAGGTCCAGGAGCAGGACCAGGATCAGGTCCAGGTCCAGGTCCAGGTCCAGGTCCAGGTCCAGGTCCAGGTCCAGGTCCAGGAGCAGATGCAGATCCAGGTCTAGGTCTAGGAGAAGATTTAGATCTAGGTCCAGGAGCAGATCCAGATCCAGGAGAAGATCCAGGTCCAGATCCAGATCCAGGTCCAGGTCTAGGAGCAGATCTAGATCCTGGTCCAGGTCCAGGAGCAGATCCAGGTCCAGGAGCAGATCCAGGTCCAGGTCCAGGTCCAGATCCAGGTCCATGTCCATGTCCAGGTCCAGATCCAAGTCCAGGTCCAGGTCCAGAGCCAGGTCCAGGTCCAGGTCCAGGTCCAGGTCTAGGAGCAGATCTAGATTCCAGTCCAGGTCCAGGAGCAGATCCAGATCTGGGTCCAGGTCCAGGTCCAGGTGGGTGGAGGTGACCTCCAAGGTTCGGGTGTGTCCCCTGTGAAGGAATTCCCAAACTCCAGCCCCAGTTCCCACCTCCCAGAGGTTCCATCCACGCCTTTCTCCAGGAAACATCCAACCCCTTGGACAACATGGATTCCGGAGACCTGGGGCTCTCGGGGGACACATCCCGATTCCTTGGGATGGATCCTGGTTTTCCTTCCTTGATCTCCAGCTTTGGAGCCGAGTTCCCCTCCATCCCAGGCAAAGAATGCCCAGGAATTCCTTAGCACCCGGATAAATCCATCCTGGAATCCCAGGGAAGCGCGGGAGAAGGACGAGCCGGAACTCTGGAGTCTCCCGGAGCTCCCGGGCCCGTGGGGATTGCGGAATTCTGCGGGAAGCGGCTGATGGTGTGTCCCGGTGCTCATTCCAGGGATTCCCGGGGAGCGGGGACCGCCCGGCCCGCGCGGATTGAAGGGGGACCCGGGGGAGCTCGGCCCTCGCGGGCCCGCGGGGCCGCGCGGATCGAAAGGTACGGGCGCGGATCCCGGCGGGATCCAGGAGCGGACGGGCTCCGGAGATATCCCGGGATGAGGGGCAGAGCCCTGGGAGCGAGACCCGGGGATCCTCTGGATCAGGAACCACCCGGATCTCCTGGAGGAACGGGAATCCCGACGGTTCCTGCACCGGCAGCAGGGGCAACGGGTGGATTTGGGATGTGCTCCCATTCCGTGGGGCTGCGTGGGGACCTCCCGGGCTGTGCTCCCACGCCTGGCTCCGGCAGGGATTTGGGAACCCGGCAGGGATTTGGGAATCCAGGAACACGGCAGGGATTTGGGAACCCAGCAGGGATTTGGGAACCCAGCAGAGATTTGGGAATCCAGGAACACGGCAGGGATTTGGGAACACGGCAGGGATTTGGGAATCCAGCAGGGATTTGGGAACCAGGAACCTGGCAGGGATTTGGGAACACGGCAGGGATTTGGGAACACGGCAGGGATTTGGGAACCAGGAACCCAAAAGGGATTTGGGAACCAGGAACCTGGCAGGGATTTGGGAACCAGGAACCCGGCAGGGATTTGGGAACACGGCAGGGATTTGGGAACCAGGAACCCGGCAGTGATTTGGGAATCCAGGAACCTGGCAGGGATTTGGGAACACGGCAGGGATTTGGGAACACAGCAGGGATTTGGGAACCCGGCAGGGATTTGGGAATCCAGGAACCCGGCAGGGATTTGGGAACCCGGCAGGGATTTGGGAACCCGGCAGGGATTTGGGAACCAGGAACCCGGCAGGGATTTGGGAACCCGGCAGGGATTTGGGAACCCGGCAGGGATTTGGGAACCAGGAACCTGGCAGGGATTTGGGAACCTGGAAACCCGGCAGGGATTTGGGAACCTGGAACCCGGCAGGGATTTGGGAACCCGGCAGGGATTTGGGAATCCGGAAACCCGGCAGGGATTTGGGAACCCAGCAGGGATTTGGGAATCCAAGAACCTGGCAGGGATTTGGGAACACAGCAGGGATTTGGGAACCAGGAACCCGGCAGGGATTTGGGAACCCGGGAACCCGAAAGGGATTTGGGAACCCAGCAGGGATTTGGGAATCCGGCAGGGATTTGGTAACCTGGAACCCGGCAGGGATTTGGGAATCCAGGAACCTGGCAGGGATTTGGGAATCCAGGAACCTGGCAGGGATTTGGGAATAATCTCCTGGCTGTGTTCTGGGGCGTTCCCGGCTCGCTGTGGTTTCCCATCCTCCTGGGAAAACTGTGGGAGTTGGGATTTCCTGGGACACCTGGGATGGGAAATTCCCAGCTGCTGCCAAACCCAGGATTGAAAACCCCAAAATCTGCCCTTTGTGCCCCAAAATTCCTGCTGGGGGGCAGGAAGGGAAAACAGGTTGGGAAGAGCCGGGATTTGTAGGGAGCAGAAACCTGGAGGGGATTGGGATTGGGTCTCCCTTCCTTTTTCCATCCCCAAATTCCATAAAAATCCCGCTGAATGGATTCCAAATGTCTGTGATCCCAGAATCCCGGAATGGTTTGGGATGGGATCCATGGACCTTCAGTCCCGTCCCACGATCCCGGGGTGATCCAAATCCACCCTTGGGCACTCCCAGGGATTCTCTGGGAATTCCAGCCCAGCCGGGAATTCCTGCCCAAGATCCCAAAATCCCAAGCTGCCCTTTCCCACTGGGAATTCCATTCCCTGGCTCCTGCCCCTCCAGCCCTTCCCCAAATTCCAGCTCTCCCGGAGCCCCTTGGGGATCGGGAAGCGGCTCCAAGGATTCCCTGGATCCTTCCCCGATCCAGGGGAACATTCCCGGCTCTCCCAGTCCAGCCGATCTCCATGGCCTCCTCTGGAATTTCTCCTTCCGGAGTCGGGATCCCGGAGCTGGAGCAGCTCCGCAGGTGGGGCCTCACCTGAGCGGGGCCATCCCCCTTTTCCTGCTGCCCGAATTTTGGGATCACTCCAGGACAAACCCATTTCCGGGGATCACCCCAACCTCTCTCCGTTTTGGGGAGGAATCCCGGAATTGTCGCTTCCCAATCCCGATTCCTGCTCCGGCATCCCGAGCCCTTCCCGATTCCCGGAGCCGCATCCCTGGCCCCGTTCCCGGCGTTCCCATCTGGATCCCATCAGCTCCGGGCCCTTTCCCCATCCCACACCACCCGCGGGATCAATCCCGCTCTCCCGGAGCCTCCCAGGGACACGGCCGGAATTTCCTGCCCTGCTCCGGTTTTTTGGGATCCTTTCATATCCCCCGTTTCCCTTCCTCCCGGATTTTCGGGTGTTGTTTGTTGTTCCTGGAGGCCGGAGCATCCCGGAGCTTTTCCCTGGGATCGGGCCAGGCTTGGCCAAGCCGGGATCAGCGAATCCAAGTCTCCGGTCCCGCCTGGAAAAGCCGGGAATGAGGGAGGAGGAGGCTCCGGCAGAGCCAAGGAATTCACGGGATATTAAATCGGGATTGGGATATTGAATGATTCCCGGGATACAGAATCATTCCCGGGATATCGAGTCATTCCCGGGATACAGAATCATTCCCAGGCTATTGAATGATTCCCAGGATATTGAGTCATTCCCGGGATATCGAATCATTCCTGGGATACTGAATCATTCCCGGGATATCGAATCATTCCCGGGATATCGAATCATTCCTGGGATATTGAATGATTCCCAGGATATTGAATCATTCCCGGGATATCAAATCATTCCCGGGATATCGAGTCATTCCCGGGATATTGAATCATTCCCAGGCTATTGAATGATTCCCAGGATATTGAGTCATTCCCGGGATATCGAGTCATTCCCGGGATATCGAGTCATTCCCGGGATATCAAACAGGCGGGAACGTTTATCCAGCTGCTCCCTGGCATCGCCCTTTTCCACGGATGCCGGCTCGGTGCTTCATCCGGAATTTGGGAATGCCCATCCCTGCCCCCAGACGGGATTTTCCACCCCCAAATCGGGAATTTCACCCCGAAATCCCGGTTTTCGCTGCCCTCCAGGGGATCTGCCCTCAGGAATTCCGGGAGCCGCTGGAATTCCCGGAGGGATTTTGGGATCTCCCGTTTTTTGGGAGCAGGGATGGGGAATCCCAACAATTCCGGCGTTTCTCCCGGCAGGCGAGCGCGGCCCCAAGGGGGACAAGGGGGACGGAGGAGCCGCTGGTGGCGCCGGTGAGTTCCCGGATCCGGGCGGGATTTTTTGGGAATCGGGAGCTGGGAAAACCATCCCGGGGTTCTCCCGCTCGGAGCCGGGGAAGGTGGGAGGGAGAGCGGGAACGGGAAAGGACCGGGAATGGCCGAGGTGTCCATGGTGGCCTTCCGCCATCCCGGGGATGTCGCTCCTTGGGGACATTCCCCAGGGAATTCCAGGGATGTCGCTCCTTGGGGACATTCCCCATGGAATTCCAGGGACATCCCAGCCTGGGGACATTCCCCAGGGAATTCCAGGGATGTCGCTCCTTGGGGACATTCCCCAGGGAATTCCAGGGACATCCCAGCCTGGGGACATTCCCGATGGAATTCCAGGGACATCCCAGCCTGGGGACATTCCCCAGGGAATTCCAGGGATGTCGCTCCTTGGGGACATTCCCCATGGAATTCCAGGGACATCCCAGCCTGGGGACATTCCCAACCACAGCCGGACCTTCCAGGCTGGGAATGTCCCAGAATTCCCTGGGGTGCCTCATCTGGTGCTCCTTCCTCATGGAGAAGCCACGGGAGATGCTCCAGGGTGGGCCAGGAGCATCCCTGGGAGATGCCACCATGGGTGGTGCCACCATCCCTCGGGAATGTCGCCATGGATGGTGCCACCATCCCTCGGGAATGACACTGTGGATGGTGCCACCATCCCTTGGGAATGACACCGTGGATGGTGCCACCATCCCTTGGGAATGACACCATGGATGTCACCATCCCTCGGGAATGTCGCCATGGATGGTGCCACCATCCCTCGGGAATGACACCATGGATGGTGCCACCATCCCTCGGGAATGACACCATGGTGGTGTCACCATCCCTCAGGAATGTTGCCATGGATGGTGTCACCATCCCTTGGGAATGACACCATGGATGTCACCATCCCTTGGGAATGACACCATGGATGGTGTCACCATCCCTCAGGAATGTTGCCATGGATGGTGTCACCATCCCTCGGGAATGTCGCCATGGATGGTGTCACCATCCCTCGGGAATGACACCATGGATGGTGCCACCATCCCTCGGGAATGTCGCCATGGATGGTGCCACCATCCCTTGGGAATGACACCATGGATGGTGCCACCATCCCTCGGGAATGTCGCCATGGATGGTGCCACCATCCCTCGGGAATGTCGCCATGGACGGTGCCACCATCCCTTGGGAATGACACCATGGATGTCACCATCCCTCGGGAATGTCGCCATCCCTTGGGATGTCACCATGGATGACATCCCCATGGCTGACATCTCCATGGCCAGTGTCCCCATGGCTGCTGTGCCCATGTCCTCCCCACGGATGTTCTCCCCATGGCTGGTGTCCCCACGGTTGCTGTCCCCATGCATGTCCCCCTCATGGATGTCCTCCCCGTGGCTGATCTCCCCATGGCTGATGCCCCCGTGGCTGGTGTCCCCACGGATGTTCTCCCCACAGCTGATGTCTTCATGGATGTTCTCATGCATGTTCTCCCCATAAATGTCCTCCCCATGGATGTCCTCCCCATGGCTGCTGTCCCCATGATGTTCTCCCCATGATGTCCTCTCCATGGCTGATATCTTCATGGATGTTCTCCTCATGCATGTTCTCCCCATAAATGTCCTCCCCATGGCTGCTGTCCCCATGGCTGATGTCCTCATGGATGACATCTCCACGGCTGCTGTCCCCATGGATGACATCTCCACGGATGTTGTCCCCATGGCTGTCCTCCCCCGGGCTGTGTCCCCATGGATGTTCTCCCATGGATCTCCTCCCCCTGGTTGTCCTCCCCGGCGGTGTCCCCATGGCTGATATCCCCATGGATGTCCTCCCCATGGCTGCTGTCCCCATGATGTTCTCCCCATGATGTCCTCTCCACGGCTGATATCTTCATGGATGTTCTCCTCATGCATGTTCTCCCCATAAATGTCCTCCCCATGGCTGCTGTCCCCATGGCTGATGTCCTCATGGATGACATCTCCACGGCTGCTGTCCCCATGGATGACATCTCCACGGATGTTGTCCCCACGGCTGTCCTCCCCCGGGCGGTGTCCCCATGGATGTTCTCCCCATGGCTGATATCCCGCCGGCTGTCCCCATGATGTCCTCCCCCCGGCTGATGTCTTCATGGATGTTCTCCTCATGGATGTTCTCCCCATGGCTGATGTCCCCACGGATGTTCTCCCATGGCTGATGTCCCCACGGATGTTCTCCCATGGATCTCCTCCCCACGGATGTTCTCCCATGGCTGATGTCCCCACGGATGTTCTCCCATGGGTTTTCTCCCCATGGATCTCCTCCCCACGGATGTCCTCCCCATGGCTGATGTTCTCCCATGGATGTTCTCCCATGGCTGATGTCCCCACGAATGTTCTCCCATGGCTGATGTTCTCCCATGGATGTTCTCCCATGGCTGATGTCCCCACGAATGTTCTCCCATGGCTGGTGTTCTCCCACGGATGTTCTCCCATGGCTGATGTCCCCACGAATGTTCTCCCATGGATGTTCTCCCATGGATCTCCTCCCCACGGATGTTCTCCCATGGGTTTTCTCCCCATGGATCTCCTCCCCACGGATGTTCTCCCATGGGTTTTCTCCCCATGGATCTCCTCCCCACGGGTGTCCTCCCACGGATCTCCGCCCCGTCCGTCCGCAGGCGCGGCGGTGCCGCGGGAGGGCGCGGTGCGGCTCATGAACGGCTCGGGGCCGCACGAGGGGCGCCTGGAGATCTTCCACCAGCGGCGCTGGGGCTCGGTCTGCGACGACGGCTGGGACGGCCGCGACGGCGACGTGGCGTGCCGCGCGCTCGGCTTCCGCGGCGCCGCCGCCGTCTTCCGCATGGCGCGCTTCGGACAGGGTGCGGCACCGGGAACGGGATCGGGAACGGGAACGGGATGGGGACAGGGAACGGGAATGGGAACAAGAACGGGGACGGGATCGGGGACGGGGACGGGGACGGGGATGGGAACGGGAACAGGAACGGGGATGGGAATGGGAACGGGGACGGGAACGGGGACGGGAACGGGATTGGGAACGGGAACGGGGACGGGAACGGGATGGGGACAGGGAACGGGAATGGGAACAAGAACGGGAATGGGAACGGGAATGGGAACGGGGACGGGAATGGGAACAGGGACGGGGACGGGATCGGGATGGGGACAGGGAACGGGAATGGGAACAGGATCGGGAACGGGAACAGGAATGGGAACGGGGACGGGAATGGGAACGGGGACGGGAACAGGGACGGGAATGGGAATGGGAACGGGGATGGGAATGGGGACGGGGACGGGAACAGGGACGGGAATGGGAATGGGAACGGGGATGGGAATGGGGACGGGAATGGGAACGGGGACGGGAATGGGGACAGGAATGGGAATGGGAATGGGAATGGGGACGGGAACGGGAATGGGAATGGGAACGGGGACAGGAACGGGAACGGGGACGGGGATGGGAACGGGAACGGGACAGGGAACAGGAATGGGACAGGGAACGGGAATGGGAACGGGAACGGAATGGGAATGGGAACGGGACAGGAACGGGAACGGGAATGGGAACAGGACAGGGAACTGGAATGGGACAGGGAACAGGAACGGGAACGGGAACGGGAACGGGAACGGGAACGGGACAGGAATGGGAATGGGAACGGGAATGGGAACGGGATGGGGATGGGGTGGGATTGGGATTGGGATGGGATTTGGAACAGGATGGGATTGGGATTGGGATTGGGAACGGGGTCGGGAACGGGGATTGGGGTTGGGATCAGGATTGGGATAGGGGTGGGATTGGGAATGGGATTGGGATGGGATCAGGATGGGATTGGGATGGGATTGGGATCAGGATAGAGATGAGATTGGGATTGGGAATGGGATTGGGATTGGGATTGGGATCAGGATCAGGGATCTCAGCCCTTTGGGATCCCTGGAATTCCATCCGTGTGGGATGCTGGAACTCGGTGGTGCCCATGTGGAATCCTGGGAATTCTGTGGGTTTCTATGTGGGATCCCAGGAATTCCATCCTTGTGGGATCCCGGAGTCCCGCGGTGTCAGTTTGGGATCCCAAATCCGGTGGTGTTAGTTTGGGATCCCGGCGGATCCAGAATCCCGTGGTGTTGGTTTGGGATCCCAAATCCCGCGGTGTCGGTTCAGGATCCCGGCAGATCCCGAGCCCTGCGGTGTTGGTTTGGGATCTGGAATCCCGCGGTCTCTGTGTGGGATCCCATCAGATCCCAAGCCCCGCAGTGTTGGTTTGGGATCGCAAACCCTGCGGAGTCCGTGTAGGATCCCATCGGATCCCGAATCCCGTGGCCTCCGTGTAGGATCCAAACTGATCCCAACCCCCGCGGTGTCCATGTGGGATCCCTGTGGATCCCGAATCCCGCGGTGTCCGTGTGGGATCCCGGTGGATCCCGAATCCCACGGTGTCCGTGTCGGATCCCGGTGGATCCCGAATCCCACGGTGTCCGTTCAGGATCCCATCGGATCCCAAACCCCGCAGTGTCCGTGGGGGATCCCGGTGGATCCTGGATCCCGTGGTGTCGGTTCAGGATCCCATCGGATCCCAACCCCCGCGGTGTCCATGTGGGATCCCGGTGGATCCCGAATCCCACGGTGTCCGTTCAGGATCCCATTGGATCCCAAACCCCGCAGTGTCCGTTCAGGATCCCGGTGGATCCCAAACCCCACAGTGTCCGTGTGGGATCCCTGTGGATCCCGAATCCCGCGGTGTCCGTGTGGGATCCCGGTGGATCCCAAATCCCGCGGTGTCCGTGTGGGATCCCATCGGATCCCGAATCCCGCGGCGTCCGTGTGGGATCCCGGTGGATCCCGAATCCCGCGGTGTCCGTGTGGGATCCCGGTGGATCCCGAATCCCACAGTGTCCGTTCAGGATCCCTGTGGATCCCAAACCCCGCGGTGTCTGTGTGGGATCCCTGTGGATCCCGAATCCCACGGTGTCCGTTCAGGATCCCTGTGGATCCCGAATCCCGCGGTGTTGGTTCAGGATCCCATCGGATCCCAACCCCCGCGGTGTCCGTGTGGGATCCCGGTGGATCCCGAGTCCCGCGGTGTCCGTTCAGGATCCCGGTGGATCCCGAATCCCGCGGCGTCTCCGCAGGCTCGGGGCAGATCTGGATGGACGACGTCTCCTGCGCCGGCACCGAGGAGTCGCTGCCGCTCTGCCCCTTCTCGGGCTGGGGCCGAACCAACTGCGGCCACGCCGAGGACGCCGGCGTGCGCTGCCGCACCGAGTGACCCCCAAACCGCCGGAAACACCCCGGAACGGCCGGAAACACCCCGGAAACGCCGGAAACACCCCGGAAACGCCGGAAACACCCCCAAACCGCCGGACACACCCCGAAACTGGAATGATCCCAAAACCGCCAGAAACACCCTGAAACCGCCGGAAACACCCCGGAACCGCCGGAAACACCCCGGAAACGCCGGAAACACCCCGGAACCGCCAGAAACACCCCGAAACCACTGGAAACACCCCGAAACCCCCGGAAACACCCCAGAGCCGCCGGAAACACCCCCAATCTGCTGGAAACACCCCCAAACCGCCGGAAACACCCCGGAGCTGCTGGAAACACCCCGGAAACGCCGGAAACACCCCGGAAACTCCGGAAACACCCCAAAACCGCCAGTAACACCCCGGAGCCGCCGGAAACACCCCGGAAACGCCGGAAACACCCCAAAACCGGGCTGACCCCAAACCCGCCGGAAACACCCCGAAACCAGGCTGACCCCAAACCGGGCTGACCCCAAAACCGCTGGAAACACCCCAAAACTGGAATGATCCCAAAACCGCTGGAAACACCCCAAAACTGGAATGATCCCAAAACCGCTGGAAACACCCCGGAAACCGAGCTGACCCCAAACTGGAATGATCCTGAGAACCAGGCTGACCCCAAAACCGCCGGAAACACCCCAAAACCGGGCCGACCCCAAAAACCGGGCTGACCCCAAACTGGGCTGACCCCAAAACCGCTGGAAACACCCCGAAACCGCCGGAAACACCCCGAAACCGGGCTGACCCCAAAAACTGCGCTGACCCCAAACCGGGCTGACCCCAAACCGGGCTGACCCCAAAAACACCGGAAACAACCCGAAACTGGAATGATCCCAAACCGGGAATGATCCTGAGAACCAGGACTGATCCTGAGAACCAGGACTGACCCCAAAACCAGACTGACCCCAAAAACTAGGAATGACCCCGAAACCGGGCTGACCCCAAATCGGACTGACCCCAAAAACCGGGAATGATCCTGAAAACTGGGACTGACCCCAAAAGGCAAACACCAAATCCATCCCAAATCCACCCAAATCCACCCCAAAGGCACTGACCCCCCAAAAAGGGACTGACCCCAAAAACCAGGACTGATCCCAAAACTGGGACTGATCCTGAAAAATGGGACTGACCCCCAAAAAAATGGACTGACCCCAAAAACCGGGACTGACCCCAAAAGGGAAACCCCAAATCCATCCCAAATCCACCCCAAAAGGAAACCCCAAAGGAAACCCCAAACCACCCCAAATCCATCCCAAAGGAACTGACCCCCAAAAAACGGGACTGATCCCAAAGGAAATCCCAAATCCACCCAAAGGGAAAACCCCAAATCCACCCACAGGGAAAATCCCAAATCCTCCCCAAACTGGAAAACCCAAATCCATCCCAAACGGAAACCCCAAACCCACCCCACAGGGAAAATCCCAAATCCATCCCAAAGGGAAAATCCCAAATCCTCCCCAAAGGGAAAATCCCATATCCTCCCCACAGGGAAAATCCCAAATCCTCCCCAAAGGGAAAATCCCAAATCCATCCCAAACGGAAACCCCAAACCCACCTCACAGGGAAAATCCCAAATCCATCCCAAAGGGAAAATCCCAAACCCACCTCACAGGGAAAATCCCAAATCCATCCCAAAGGGAAAATCCCAAATCCTCCCCAAAGGGAAACCCCAAAGGGAAAATCCCAAATCCTCCCCAAAAGAAACCCCAAACCCACCCCAAGGTCAGGGAACGGGATCGTTCCCAGAGAAATAAAGGATTTGTTCTTCTCCGGGTGGGATTTATGGGGTTTTGGTGGGATTTGTGGGGTTTTAATGGGGTTTATTTGATTTATGGAGTTTTTAGGGGTTTATGGGGTCTGTGGGGTTTTTGGGGGTTTATTGGATTTGTGGGATGTTTATGGGATTTATGGGGTATTTTATGGGATTTATGGGGTTTACGGGGTTTTTGGGGTTTATGGAATTTTATGGTGTTTATGGGGTTTTTATGGGATTTATGGTGTTTCTATGGGATTTATGGGGTTTTTATGGGATTTATGGGGTTTTTATGGGATTTATGGGGTTTTCGGGGTTTATGGAATTTTAGGGTGTTTGTGGGGTTTATGGGATTTATGGGGTCTATGTGGTTTATGGGATTTTTAAGGGGTTTACGGGGGTTTTGGGATTTTTGGTTTTTTGGGGTTTATGGGGATTCGTGGGTTTTTGGGATTTATGGTTTTTTGGGGTTTATGGGGATTTGTGTTGGTTTTTTTTATGGTTTTTGGGGCTTTTCGGCAGTTTATGGCCTTTACGGGGTTCCAGCGACCCCGCAGCGCCCCGCCACGGTCCTGGGGCCTCGCGGAGCGCCCCAAATGCCCCAAAATGCCCCAAAATCCCCCCAAATCCGCTCAAATCCACCAAATCATCCCTAATTCCCTGAAATCACCCCAAATCCACTCAAATCATCCCTAATTCCCTGAAATCACCCCAAATTCCCCCCAAATCCCCCAAATCCACCAAAATCCCCCAAATCCTCCCTAATTCCCTGAAATCACCCCAAATTCCCCCCAAAATCCTCCAAAATCCACCAAAACCACCAAATCCTCCCTAATTCCCTGAAATCCCCTCAAAATCCCCACAAACCCCCCAAAATCCACCAAATCCTCCCTAATTCCCTGAAATCCCCCCAAAATCCCCACAAATCCCCCAAAATCCCCCAAAATCCCCTCAAATCCCCCAAAATCCACTCAAATCCACCAAATCCTCCCTAATTCCCTGAAATCCCCCCAAAATCCCCACAAACCCCCCAAAATCCCCCAAAATCCCCTCAAATCCCCCAAAATCCACTCAAATCCACCAAATCCTCCCTAACTCCTGAAATCCCCCCAAAATCCCCACAAACCCCCCAAAATCCACCAAATCCTCCCTAATTCCCTGGAATCACTCCAAATTCCCCCCAAATCCCCCAAATCCACCAAAATCCCCCAAATCCCCCAAATCCTCCCTAATGCCCTGAAATCACCCCAAATTCTCCCCAAAATCCCCTCAAATCCCCCAAAATCCCCCAAATCCCCCCCAAAATCCGGTCGGGCGAACCACAGGCCACGCCCACCCCGCGCTGGCCACGCCCCCACGGCCGACGGGGCGATGACGTCACCCAGCGCCTTTGGCCACGCCCCCGCCTTTGGCCACGCCCACGATCCAAGCCACGCCCACTCATTTCCATACGTGCCCCTTGGCCACGCCCCCGGGAAGGGGCGGGGCCGGCGCGCGCGCGCGGGATTCGAACGCGGCGCCCGAAAACGGCCGGAAAAGGCGGGAAAAGGAGCCCGGAATTCCCGGTAAAGGAGCCCGGAATTCCCGGTAAAGGAGCCCCAAATTCCCGGTAAAAGGAGCCCCAAATTCCCTGGAAAAGGAGCCCGGAATTCCCGGGAAAAGGAGCCCGGAATTCCCGGTAAAAGGAGCCCCAAATTCCCGGGGATCGGCAGCGGGAGCGGGAAAAGGATCCCGGAGCTCCGCGGGATCGGCACCGGGAAAAGGAGGCCGGGATTCGGCAGCGGGCTCCGGGAATTCCCGGGATTGGCAGCGGGAAGAGGATCCCGGAATTCCCGGAGATCGGCAGCGGGCTCCGGGAATTCCCGGGATTGGCAGCGGGAAGAGGATCCCGGAATTCCTGGAGATCGGCATCGGGCTCCGGGAATTCCCGGGATTGGCAGCGGGAAGAGGATCCCGGAATTCCCGGAGATCGGCAGCGGGCTCCGGGAATTCCCGGGATTGGCAGCGGGAAGAGGATCCCGGAGCCCCCCGGGCCCGGCGGCCGCCGGCAGCGACCCCCGGAGCGAGGTGGGGCCGGGGGCGCTTCCCGGGAACCCCCGGAGCTGGGACTGATCCCCAAAATCCCGGGATCCCAAACCCCGGCATCCCCCCATTCCCGAAATCCCGGGATCCCCCATTCCCAAATCCCGGGATCCCAAACCCCGGGATCCCCCATTCCCGAAATCCCGGGATCCCGAACCCCGGGATCCCCCCATTCCCGAAATCCCGGGATCCCCAAATTCCCAAATCCCGGGATCCCAAATCCTGGGATCCCCCCGTTCCGAAACCCCGGGATCCCCAAATTCCCAAATCCCGGGATCCCCAAGTTCCCAAATCCTGGGATCCCTAACCCTGGGATCCCAAACCCCGGGATCCCGAAATCCGGGATCGCTTCCTGGGAACCCCCGGAGCTGGGACTGATCCCCAAAATCCCGGGATCCCAAACCCCAGGATCCCCCATTCCCAAATCCCGGGATCCCGAACCCCGGGATTCCCCCGTTCCGAAACCCCGGGATCCCCCAATTCCCAAATCCCGGGATCCCAAACCCCGGGATCCCCCATTCCCAAATCCTGGGATCCCCCCGTTCTGAAATCCCGGGATCCCAAACCCCAGGATCCCCCAATTCCCAAACCCCGGGATCCCCCATTCCCAAATCCTGGGACCCCTAACCCTGGGATCCCAAACCCTGGGATCCCCCCATTCCCAAACCCCGGGATCCCGAAATCCAGGATCGCTTCCTGGGAACCCCCGGAGCTGGGACTGATCCCCAAAATCCTGGGATCTCAACTCCTGGGATCCCCCCATTCCCAAACCCCAGGATCCCAAATTCCAGGATCTCCCAAACCCCGGGATCCCCCCATCCCCAAACCCCGGGATCCCAAACCCCGGGTTCCCCCAATTCCTGGGATGCCCCCATTCCCAAATCCCGGGATCCCGAACCCCGTGATCCCCCCATCCCCCAAATCCCGTGATCCCCCCATCCCCAAACCCCGGGATCCCAAACCCCAGGATGCCCCAATTCCCAAACCCCGGGATCCCAAATTCCGGGATCCCCATTCCCAAATCCCCTCCCCGGGCCGGCATCTCCCAGCCTGGGACCATTCCCAGATCCGGGATTTTGGGGATCCCCTCCCCCATTCCCTCATTTGGGATTTTGGGATTTCCTTCCC